TACCAGGGCAAGTGTCTGTCACCCGTGAGCCTGCAGCACCTAGAGGGACATGGTGGGCAGTGCCCCCGTCTGAAAAGACAGTGTGGTTGAGCCCGTTCATCTCTGGATTTCCACAGCAATGTGGGGGACAGACCAAGCATATGTCCTTGCTTCAGAGGCCACATGGCCAGTGAGACAGCGGCTTAGCAGGACTCTGGGGCAGACCTGAGTCTGCAAGGTGCCTCTATGACTAAAGGTGAGTTCTTGGTGACAAGAAGACTAGATTCAACCATTAGATGAATGGCTAGTATTGCATGCATAGCTATTCCGTCTGAATAAGAGACATCCTCTTCTGGAGGGAGGCTAATTAAGACTTAGGAAGTAAAGAAGACTTAAAAGGCCCAGGCGGTAACCAGAACTCACAAGTCTCAGGAAGTGCTGGAAATTTACAAGATTTTCAGACTCCTCCCCAAGGATCTACAAGCAGTAACAAGTCCTGGAAAAAGGATGCTATTTGGCTAGTTGTGCTGAGGGTCTTTCAAGGGTCTTCACCCATGCTGGTGTGGGCTTTGCTGGGAAGCAGCTGCCATTGAGTCACCCACGCTCCTGTGAGTAACCCTAGTGGACTCATTGGCTCACCAAGCTAGATTCGAGTGGGCTCATGTCTTCAGTCTATTGCAGGTACCCAAACTGGGGTCTGTAGATGTTTGGTCACATTCCCGCAGGAAGTCATGCAACAGCAAGGCAACTGTCATGAACTTTGCATACTGGTTTAGTACATTGAAACTTTGCAACCATTCTTTGAATTGCCTTGTATGTCATGTGTGCCCTACCCCTGCCGCCCAAACAAACTGAGGTTCAGCGAGGTGAAGACTCCTGTCTAGTTGATAAAGTGGGGCTACCTATCTGTGACCTACAGTCACTATCAAGGGCTTTGGGGAGAGAACCAGCACTTAGTGAGTTCTGAAGATAGATACCTTCCTGAAAGGAGGTGGGCCCCTGGACTGGGGATGGGCAGTGTGCCATCCCTGTTAGGGGCTGGAGTAGGTCTCCTACCTGAGGGTCCGTGGAGAAAAGAAGTGTCTGACCTCTGTGCCCTTTATAAGATCTCCCCAGAACTTCCCACTTTAAACTCCTACCTGGAGCCCCCACAGCCTGACATCAGTGCCTCGAAGCCCATGAATGGCCTGACCCAGCTCTATTCCCTGGCTCTCTGTGACAGCTAATAGTGATTGACAGGACCTAGAAACACTTAGGAGACAAGTCTCTGGAGTGTCTAGATTTGGTTAACTAACATGGGTAGACATACCTTGAATGCACCTTTCTGTGTACCCGGGTCCCACACTGGGGAGAAAGGACGAGGTGAGCAGGGCGTCAGCATGCGCCTCTCTCTGCAACCTGACTGAACAGCTTGTGACCAACTGCCCCACATTCCTGTCACCGTGCCTTCTCCACCATCGTGGGCTGTTCCCTCAGACTGTGAGGAAAACTACCTGTTGTAAGTTGCTTTGGTCGAGTATTTTATCCCAGTGAGGAGAAAAGCACCCGATACCCTCCCTGTCCTCCAGAGGTTGGTCTGGACTGTCAGGATGGCTTCTGCCCTGTGCAGGGACAGGCAGTCTACGTTCTATGCTGTGGCTTCTGTCTCCATGCCACCCGGTGTCTACAAAGCACTGCTGGCCCTTGCCCTCCTCAGCTGAGGGTGGCTGCAGGAACCACCTCTGGGGACCCCTGGGAGCTCTTCAGTCTAGGAGAGCTCAGGGGGGGATCCTGAAAGGGAAAGGGGGCTGGGGGGAGATGGGGGTGGGGGCCTGGAGGGGGAAATGGGACACAGAAGAGCAGCGAGGGTTTAGTGGCTCCAAGGTCCTCAGAGAGTGTGTGCTCCAAGACATTTCATGCTCCAGCAAGAACCCATAAAATCAAAGACAGGCTCCCGAGTGCACTGATTTTCCGAGCGCACTGATTTACGCAGAACGAGTGGAGAAAGTATCTCCCCCCCTCCCATTAATCACTGGGCGTGAGGCAGCTGCTCCATAGCATGTGCGCTGTGTAGTGCTGAGGGTTGAGGCTGATCTGAACATAGATCTGACAGCACACACCCTTAGCTCAGCTTCTGAGACCCTCCCTGGGCAGGTTTGACTGTCACCACCCCACCTTCCAGCATGACGTCCCTCAGCCCCTCACACATCACCAAGGCAGCCCAGCCTGGAGCATAGAATTAAAGCAGATCTTGTGAAACCAGAGCTGTGGTCAAGACCATACCAAACAGGCCTGAGCTGCTTCCAGCCAGTCTCAGCCAGCTCAAATCACTTCTAACCAAGTCAAGCCAGTTCTAGCAAATTCCAGGGCTGACCGGATCAGGATGTAACCAACTCTAACATGTTCTGACTGATCCCAGCAATATATACTGTTTAAAGAAGATTGCAGCCCGTTTCAAATGGTTCTGGCTAAATCCAACTGGATCAGACCAGTCTGACCAGATCAAAGCAAAGCTAATTTAAGTGACTCCAACTTGGCCAGTTCCTTTCTCCTCCGAAAATGTTCCCATTAAGAACCTATCAGTTCTTCACCTGCTCAGAGGCAGGCAGGGGACATGGGAGACGCTAATGCGCTGGGCTCTGAGGCCGCAGCAGAGCAGAAGCCCGATGGTTATAATAACCCAGTTACAGTTTACCAAGGTGGAGGTCAGACAGAAACCTCTTCAGTCTTTCTCCACCTTTAATTTTGGGGACAGTCTCTCACTGAACCTGGAGCTTGCCAGCAAGCCCCAGAAATCTGTGTTCACAAGCACCGAGATTACACGTATGCAACTCCACACTGGGCTTTTACGTGGGTGCTGGGGTTCAAAAGCAGGCCCCCGTGCTTGCACGGTAAGCATTTTACCAACTGAGCCATCTCTTCTGTCTTTGCGTGCACTGGTTCCTGTGATGACATCAGTGGAGGTTATCTACTGCCCGCTGGGCCTGGAGACAGCTGCCTCTAGAGGGACTGCGAGTGGGCCCAGCCCAGCGCTCAGCTCTGTTGACTCTGACTTCTCTCTGAGCATCAGGGTCGTCTGTAGGAACTGCTAAAGCATCCATGTCATCAACAGAGATAACAGGTGACAGTGTCGGAGTCCTTAGAACGGTGTTGTCACCTACAGTGGGTACACAGGGCATTTCTGCTCCTTTTCCAAGCTTTCAGTTCATTTGGTTTGGTTTTTGTTGTTGTTTGGGCAGAGTCTCCCTATGTAACTGGGCAGGCATTAAACTCTTGAGGATTTCCTGCCTCCGCCTACTAAGTTGTTTAGGTGATTGACAGACACATGCCACCACAGCTCCTCCCCTTCCTCCCTCCTTCCTTCTTCCTTCCTTCCTTCTGTCCCTCCTTCCTTCCTTCCTTCCTCCTTCCTTCCTTCCTTCCTTCCTCCTTCCTTCCTTCTTCTCTGAACTATTACAACTGGCCTTTCTTTGGTACAGTGGTTAGAGCTATTCTCACACATGTTGAAAGCTGTGGGATCCAGCCCCTACTTCCAGGCCTGTTTCTCTGGGCCTCACGCTCCCCTCCCCTGGAGGTTCCCAGGAAGTGAGCTGAGAGTTGGTTTCTATCAATCCCTAAGCTGCCAGGTCTGTCTCGGCTTGGGGCATGACTCCTGGGTCTCTTGCCTGATGTGAGGTGAAGGGCTCCTTCTTCCAGAGTACATCCTGTGCTTGAGTAGATTCCCCCAGGGTAGAGGAAATGGATGGAACTCTGCCACGTCTGCCAAAGCAAGCCAAGGAAGGGCCCTCCGTGGGGCTAGCAGAGGCTTCTTGGCTGAGGTCCTGGGTGTGGGTGTGGGGGGGGTCTCTGCCCCTCTAGGCCTCTACACAGGTGGAAATAGGGTAGAATAATCCTCTGGGGGAGGGGATTCCCAGAGAGTCTCTTGCCTATGCTCTGAAGCAGGGAAGGGACCAGTGGAGACGGCCAAGATTCTGTGACCAGTTTAGGAGGCACCTCACCCTGATGTGAGACTAAGCTGAGTCACTAAGTCCCCCTCCCTCCCTCCCTCCTTCCCTCCCTCCCTCCCAATATTATATACATGTATACCACTAAACACTTAAAAACTAGCAATTTCTAGCAATCATTGTTGGTTGAGGGTTCATTGTGTTCTAAGCCTTGGCCTGCATTATTAGGTCATTCTGTCCCAATCCTGTGGAAATGTCCTGACTTCAGGCTCCTTTCCCTGAGGAAGAAGCCAGCTCACAGGCATGGCAGGGCTGAACCCCACATCTCTGAGTCACACTGCTGACTTCCACTGCACCCAAATAGCCATCTTTAATCAACTGATAGTGGCTGCCTGAAGGGTAATATTGAAATTCAGAGGCCTCGCTCAGAAAGAGTGCTATAATTGATAAGTGATGTCTGCCCCCGGCAGAGGCATGGGAAGGGGTGGCTCAAGTACAGTCTATCTATATGCTGTCTGTTCCCAAGATTCTGTGCCCTAGGGTGAGTTCTGTCCTCGCAGGCTGACAGAACAGGGCTGGAGAGATAGATCAGCCCTCAACAACTAAAGCTGACAACCGCCAGGCGTTGGTGGCGCACGCCTTTAATCCCAGCACTCGGGAGGCAGAGGCAGGCGGATATCTGTGAGTTTGAGACCAGCCTGGACTACCAAGCGAGTTCCAGGACAGCCTCCAAAGCCACAGAGAAACCCTGTCTCAAAAAAAAAAAAAAGCTGACGACCAAAACTATTAAGATTCCATTTCCCAAGACGACAGAACAACCACAGGGAACAGAAAGGTCATACTACAAAATTGTTTTGAAGTCTATCAAGACAGAATAAGGGGTTGTTTCCACAATCGTGCATGCTGGTGTTAGTCATCCCCATCCTGGTGCCCAGCCCCCCAGCATCCTTGACAGCTTTTTTTTTTTCCACTTTACCGCCGGGTGAGCGAGCACTGTCACCCCACAGGCCCGCGCACGTAGGCCATGGTTACCCCAGATATACCGCTTGCAAGCTGTCTTCCCTCGACCCCGAGGTGCCTCGTGGCCGGCTGGTTTCGGCCTGTGGCTGGCAGTTAAAAGGGCCGTCCGCGATGGGCAGGGGGCCCCAGTTATGAACCAGCAATTGCTATGGCGCCGCAGCTTCCTTGACAGCTTTCACCTGCCAAATGTTCCCCAGCATGTTGACTTGCCTGTTGACTAAGGCAGGCTTAGTCACATGGGGCAGCACAGGGGCTGACTGGGGTAGCTTGCGGAGGCACAGCATCTTTAATAACTGTAGACAGAGGGCTCATGAGTCATCCCATCACTTAGCACATGAAATCAAGAACAAGGTTCCTGAAAGCTGCATCCACGGTACCCCAGCACACATTCTATTATCATAACCCTCCTCTGTTGCCTGGACTCCAATGTGCCTCGTTAGTTGGAGACAGACACTCCTGTTTGTAGCTGTGGATGATGCTACCTCCCACTGGAAGGATCCTGGGGCTCAAGGGTTGGACAGGTCCAAACCTATAGGGAGTTTCTTTTCAATGATGAGGGTGGGGTAGGGAAGGGACTTGGAAAAGCAGAGACTAGATTTAGACTCCCAGGACCCAGATAAGGACCTTGGCTCTGTCACTTACAGATTGGAAGAGCTTACCCAAACCATTTAATTTCTCTGTGCCTCAGTTTCCTCATCCCCAAATGGGAGAAAAATGTCTAAGCTGAGCTTCCTGGGGAGAACAGGATTCAGTCCTGGAGTGGGCTCTGCAGGACCGCTGACCCAGGGACCCTGCAGGATAGGCAGGGCATCCATTACACAGATAAGGTCACTGAGGCCCAGCGTCAAGCCAGCGGGGAAGCACATCATTCCAGATCCTGTGGTCTGCCCAGAACAGTGTCAGGTCAGGCAGCAAGATGTGACAGCAGGAGGGCAGGAGGAAAGGACGTCACAGCCACACGTGACATTAAGAGGGATTCCTTGGAGGACAGGGCATGGTGGTATACTAGGAGGCAGAGGCAGGCAGATCTCTGGGTTCGAGGACAGTCTGGTCTACATAGTCAGTTCCAGGACAGCCAGGGCTACGTAATAGAGAAACCCTGTCTCAAAAATGTGATTTTTTTGAACCCCTGTCCTGGCAGGTGGAAGAGGAGGGGTGTTCTGAGGACGTAAGGCCTCCCAGGTCCACGGGGATTCTGCGCACACCCAAGGGCCCTATAACCTGACCTTGCCTTCACTTAACCTTCCCTCCTAATCCCACCCTCCTGCCCGAAGTGCAAGCTCTGTGCCCAGCCAGGGAGGCCATGGTGATCTCCCCTCTTCCAAAGGAATTCATCAACCCAACTCTAAGTCAAGTCACTTGCTTCTGCCTGCCTTGGATCACTGCTGGGTGGCAGTCTCCCGGCCTTTGTCACTCACCTTGCATAGCTTCTGTTCCCCCTCAGGATGTGTGGGCTGGGTCCCCCGGGCGTGGCTCAGGCTGGGCACACATGTCAAGTGGAACGAGACGCTTGTAGCATGGTGTGTGACACAGGAAACTGTCCTTCTCTCGGGGCCTCAGCTCCCACCCTTGTGGAGTGGGGTTGACGTAAACTGCAGTGGCCCCTTCCCACCCAGCGTCAGAGTGAGCTCGCAGCCTTGAAGGGCTCTCCAGCCGTGGAGAAGTGATTAGATGAGGGGCTCCCCCACGCAGCCCCAGGCCCATCTTCCTTGCCTGTCACTGGTTAGCATTTTGTGAAAGGGGTTCGTTTGGAAGATCTTCAACCGTGGGGGTGGGGTCGTGGGGTCGGAGAGTGGATCTCAAATCTGTGCCTAAGGCAGGTTAGGTCGGCAGAGTTGAGGCAGGTTTTCCCTGGGTCAGGGATTTATCCGGAACCCCACACACACACCAATTTCCACCTGGACTGCCATTCCCACAGCCCTCTCCTTCTCTGCCTACATGGAGGGTCCCAGCCCAGCCCTCTGTGCCTCCCTGAGTAACCTAATCCTGAGTACCTAAGTCTTCATGTGAAGACATGTACACAGTTACCCACAGCTCTTCCTGGAGTGCCCAAGTAGCTGTACCCCCAAAAACCATCTGTTTCCCTGTTACCTGCTATAGTACATGAGCTGACTGGGCACTTGAGACTCAGAACAGACCCAGCTTCCTTGTTGAACACACATCCTTGGAGCCCATGTGAGCCCGGAGTGGCGTACATGTGCACTGATTTGGGCCACAGTGCCTGTGGTCGTTTGAATGTAACTGGCCCTCATAAATTCACAGGAGATGTGGCTTTGTTGGAGTAGGCATGGCCTTGTTGGTGGAGGAAGTGCGTCACTGTGGAGGCAGGCATTGAGGACTCATACGTGCCCCAGCCAAGCCCAGTGACTCAGCTTACTTCCTGTTGCCTGTGGATATAAGATGTAGAACTCTCAGCTCCAGTGCTGTGTCCCGCCATGACCCGCCATGATGGTAATGGTCTGAACCTCTGGAGATGTGGGCCACCCCAATTAAATGTTTTCCTTTATAAGAGTTGCTGTGGTCATGATATCTCTTCACAGCAACAGAAACCCTAACTAAGACAGTGCCCACACCCACCCTCTTAGCGACTTTTCCTCTGGCATCTACATCTCAAAAAATCTTCCCAAGCCTATCTTGTCTCTCAGGTCTCCCAAAGCCACCTCGGAGGTCACATTTACCACGTACCTGCTAAGGGCCTGGCAGAGTCCTTCCAACGCCATGAGGTGTATCAGTAAGGGAAACCGAGTTATACCGTGGTAACGAAGATCCCTCTCACTTCTGAAGCCTATCCATGGTTTGTCTCTTGCTTGTGGGTTTTCAGGTTGTCTGGAACTTCTGTTGGTTTTCATCTGGAGATACATACTGACAAAACAGCCATCATGTGAAATACTGCTGTGCCCACAGGAGCAGAAGTCTCCAGAGGTCCCGTATCAATGATAATATGTCCGAGCTAAAAAAAGACTGGTGTGCCATTTTTGCTCATAGTAAGACCAGAGTGAGTCCCCTGGAGCCATCTGATCCCCTAACACCTTGCCTGGCCCAGCACTAATGTCTCTCACACATTTGTGAGCGAGGCAGTAAAAAGTCACCCCAAGCTTTCAGGACAATGGGCAGGCTCGGAGCTGATTCAGGGGCTGTCCAGGACGCAGGGGCCCAGGGGCGGCCTAAGCTGTAGGTGAAGGGTCTCGGTGGGAGGGGTGTGGTCAGCAAGCACTTGGGATGGAAAGTCCCGTCTGGGTCACATTCACCTGTGCCACCACCACTCCGTGCTTTCCCTGTTCTAGATGCTTTGAGTCTCCAGGCATCGGTCACTGTCACTGCATACACTCATTAGGCTGATATGTCCTCCACAGGTGATCAGTGTCTCTGCCACGCCCCTCCCCCACAGGGTCCCACCCTCCCCAGGACCCTGTCCCTACTGTGCGTCGTTCCTCAGCAGGTCTGCTGTTTCCCCCTGAGGTCTGCAGTGTCCTGGCAGGTGTCCACTCCTCACACTGGCAGGCTCTGGCCCCTCTCTGGGTCACCTTAGGCTCCCCGCAGAGGTCATCTGTACCTTGCAATTCCACCTACTGCACTTTGAACTGAGGGGAAACTTTGCTGACAACTGGATTGACTTTTGGCTTTTCCCACAGCAGGGTTAAACAGTCCATATCATACCTTCACATACTACCACTTTATACTGTCATCTTGTGTGTCCTCCCAGCCAATACAGGTACAGTGCGTGAGTGAGTGTGTATGAGTGTGTGTGTGTGTGCATGCTCACTGTTTTTTTTTTGGTTTTGGTTTTTTTTTTTTTTTTTTTTGGTTTTTCGAGACAGGGTTTCTCTGTGGCTTTGGAGGCTGTCCTGGAACTTGCTCTTGTAGACCAGGCTGGCCTCGAATGCACAGATATCCGCCTGCCTCTGCCTCCCAAGTGCTGGGATTAAAGGAGTGGGCCACCAATGCCCAGCCTCACTGTTTCTTTGGGGAACTCTGAGGCTCCAACAGGAACAGCAGTGGCATCTCATCCCATTCATCCCACCCCTGAGATCAACCACCTTTGACCCACAACCCCTCACTGGGCTATGAGACTCTGGCTGGACATCTGGGAGAAACCCAGTGCACACTGATGGACAGTGTGATTGGCAGTTTTATCTGTCAACTTGGCACAGTGTAGAATCACCTGGAGAGAGTCTCAGTGAGGGGCTGTCTAGGTCAACAGGCTTATGGGCGTGTCTGAGAGGATTGCCTTGCTTTTGCTAATCTAGATGGGAAGATTCAGCCTACTGTGGGCAGCACCATTCCCTAGGCTTTGACCTTGGATTATATGAGAGTGGAGAAAGCAAGCTGAGAATCTCTGGAGTGGATGCCATGTGACAAGCTGCTTCAAGCTCTTCTCACCTCAGTTTCCCCACATTGATGGGTGGAACCCAGAATCGGGAGCCAAGCAAACCTTTTCTCCCCTGGCATCTTCTCATGAGGGGATTTTTATCATAGCAATGGGAAAGGAAATTAGGACAAGCAGATTGTCTTTTCTTCAAAGGTCCAGCCAAGGAGGACCTGTGACACCTGTCATTAACCATTCATTAAAAATCTCACAGATGCACACCTTTAGTCCCAGCGCTCAGGAGGCAGAGGCAGGTGGTTCTCTGTGAGTCTGAGGCCAGTCTGGTATGTAGAGGGAGTTCCAAGACAGCCAGGGCCACATAGAGAAACTCTGTCTCAAAGAATAAGAAGAGGAGGAGGAGGAGGGAGAGGAGGAACAATAATAGGAGGAGAAAGAAAGAAAAAGAGCAGACTGAATGTCACTGGCCACCGATGGTGCCAACCACTTACAAAGACATCAGTTCCAGAGAGTGGTGGGAAAATCCAGAAAACACCATTACATTCAAATGACCACATGAGCATCCCAGGGACAGATCATTTGGAAGTGTCCCCCACCCGGGCACCTGAGGGTGGGGGCTCTTCAAGCAGGGAGGCTAGCCAGGAGAAACCTCTAATGACCCTGGCTCAATGTCACCACCAACAGTGGTGCTGGTCTGGCTGCAGAAGACCCGATGGGATGGACAGTGAGGTGACACCACTGCTAGAAGAGGCCATTGAGTGAACCTGGATACTGAGGGTGGGGTCTCAGCCCAGGTAGCACTGATGATGGTGATGGCTGACATGACTTAGATGTCCCTGTGTGCAGGAAACACACCTGAAGACTGGTGGACTTGGGCAGCATTCCAGCAGCTTCTGTGGAATGG